ACACCCACACACAAGGCACAAGTCCTGGTTACAAGGATTACATTGCTTAACTGTCCGTACTTTGGAACTTGCTCGAACATACTTATTCAAATGCATTGTAACTTTACTGTTGCCGCTGCTGTGGCTGTGCGGATTGTGTGTGTGTACTGAGTGTGTGTTCAGCTTAAAAAGTTACCACGACTTTCGGGCAGAACCATTATTAAGAGGTATTTAAAAGAGTCAAAGTACATCGATTTTTTATTAGGCAAATAATGTTTTGGAAATATAAATATTAATTCAATTTGATATAAAAAAAGGATAAACCAATAATCCAATAATAAATAGTACAAATTTACTTTGGAAAGCAATTAAATATCAATGATATATTTTTATAGTAATACCCAATATTATATTCATAACTGAAGCTCAGTCGAATCTACCTTTTATTCCCCATTACTCCCTAAACTCCCAGTCAATGCCGCACTATATTCTATATAGTATATATATTTCACATATGCAGGGTTCGCCCCCAAAGAATTGTTCAATTGCCAGAACATAAACGTGTGCGTGCATATTTTTTTTGTTCGGCCATTCGCCCATTGTTAGTTTGATTTAGGCGGCAGTATATATGAATTATTATTGTTAAATATGAATATTTATTGCACTTTCCAGACCGATTGTTGTAATGCGAAACTGCAGCTGAGGCACAAAGCCCTTGATCTGCTGGACAATGTCGCAACACACACAGACTCTGAATATTCTCGTGTATTTGAATTTTATGGCCCAGCATAATGGGATAGAATTTTCGGTTCCATTCAGCAGAACTTTGCCTCATTTCAGTCATATTTATTTCTTTCGAGTGCTTTGCCGAGTGCTCCCCAAAAATTTAATTGCACAAAAGTTTCTGTAGAAAGCCAAAAATGCTGATGATGAAATGAGCAAATTTCTTCGTTATGGGCTAATCAAAAAATGTTGCCAGTAGTGCTTTTTAATTGAAAATTGTGGGTCCAATATCAAAGGCACCAGCTCCGGAGTGCAATGAACGCCATTAGTTTTAAAGCGCAATGTAATTTGATTGCCATTAGGCAGCCGAAAAGGGAAATTAAAAATGAACAACCAGAGAGCCCAATTGCAAGTGCACAGAGGAAGCACAGCTTCAGCTTCAGCTTGAGACAAAACGCAAATATAAAATGTATATGGTGAGAGGAGCACATTGTAAATAAGTAAATGGGGGATAGGGCGATGGCTGCGTCCTGGTTTCGTCCCGGATACGGACATAGCCCTTGGCTTGAGCCATAAATTGTAACGGCTTTTGGCCCTACCTTATGCAGATTTGTTTAACTTCAAAAGAATACAACAAATTGCCCAGATGCCGGGATCGGGAGCTCGTACATACACACTGTACTTTATTTTTATTCCCCTTCTCCTCCCCCCAGCTATGCTGACTTTTATTTAGCTTTCGTTTCGTGTTTCAGTTTTCTTATTTTCATTTTCCACGTTTTTATTTTCCTCCTCTCAAACATTAATCCACTAAACCGTAAACAAACGAGGCAGTCAACAAAGGACCTACATGGCGTATGAGCTATTAAGTGTGGCCCATGTGTGAGTGTGCGTGGAGTCTAGCCAGGGACAACCCTGCACTGGGCAACCCTGCTACTTCCGCATCCTAAACACCGTTATATCGCCAGTGCAACTGCAGTTTCCATTTCCAATTGTGTATGCGCCTCTTGCGATTTATGATCCTGCGAAAGCCATTAAAATACAAATTTAAAAAAACAATTCTTCAAGCTTAAGGAAAGCTTTGCAGAAAAACCAAATGTAAGTATGTAATTTAATATTTCTCTTAAAAAAACAAGTAAACTAAATAACGAAAGCATCTCAAAGGATTATGAGCACATAAAGCAATAGCAATCACTTTAGTTTATTGTTTAATTTCCCAGTAATCCAATTTAATTCAATCCCAGCAAAGGCACAAAATGTTTCAGAATGCACTTGCGTTGTGCGAAGCGGGAACCAAAACTTGAAAATTGAAAAATTAAATATTTATTTGCTCGCTGAAAAGTTTGAGGACCCCCCAAAAGTGCTTATCCTTTCGGCACACTCGTACCACTCGCACAAGGTCGAACCACAGTTGGAAACTTGCCTTTCATTGGCAATCCCTATTCGTATTTGTGTTTCTGTTGTTGCTTTATTATACTCGGCCAAGTATTTTTATTCGAGAACAAACTGAAGCTGACGCTGAAGCTGAAGCACAAGCACAAACACAAGCAGCGGCAATGAAAGTTAAACAATGTTTGCGGCTTTGCTATCCGTTTCCGCAATAATTTCTCGGATCCGGCTGCGAGCGTTTTGTGCCCTTGACACGATTTCCACAGCAGCCCCGAGAGCGGAAAACTTTTGATTTCGCCACAAGATAATTTGCCCAGCTAGTCAAGGATCTGCCAGGGGTTGGGCTGCCAGTGGGCGTGGCACTGGGTCGCGGCCACTTAAAGTAATGCAAAAAAGAGAGAGAGACAGAAGGCAGCGCGGCAATCCAAATAAGGAAATCAAAATGGCAAAGCAACATAAAAGACGAGCGAAAATTGAACATCCTGCTGCAGGATGCGTTGCGGGAAAAGATGGCAGCAGGGCAAGAAGATGCTTCCCAGTGCCTGTTCCTGTCCCGGCCAAGACGAACACCATAATTATGGGTGACCGCGATAAGGAGCAGCTCTGAATGTAAGGGAATTGTGCGAGACCACTCTACGTTGCACGGGACAATTGCGGCCAAGGACTACCCCGAATAGTGCTGCCCAAGAACCTATTTCAAAAGGATACCTTTATTATAAAATAACTGCAAAAAAAAGGATAGTATTAACAAAAGACGGATAACAAAATTGAAGAGAACCATTCAAGTACATTATGATATTAGAGGGTTCCTTTATCATTTTAAAAGTAAGCCAGTTTGGTTTCGAACTACCTATGTACTTTATAACTAAAGCTGTTAAAAAAATTAGAGTTTCAAAGTAGTGAATCAATATATTCTCATAATAAATAAAATACAATTTGCCAGCACTGTTTGCCTCTGGGTGTTCCCAGGCAAAACTGGGTGGCACTGGCTCCTGAATCTCGGACGAGTGGTCACCCTGTATGGAAGCTGCTGGTGTGCCACTTTGTGCAATGAAAAATTTCCGCTTGCTCGGTCCTTTTGCTTGAAGGATGACATTTTTGCAAATTGCCATCATAATAATAATCAAATTCGTGTAAATTTGTTTGCAAATTCAAGAAGGAAATGGTGTCAGCTGCCCCAGTTCCCTTTGCCAGTTACAGATGGTCTGGGATTATCAAGTTAATAGCTTTTCTCGTTCCTCATCTCGTCTTAATGTGGATGAAATTGAAAACATAAACTACCGAAACTACACAGAGCAGAACGTACATATATTTGTATGTAGGCAGACCTTTGTGGAATACAAACAGCAAATTATTTTCCATATGCAACGGAAGGATATTAATTAATTCAGTTTAATTGGAAAAGCAAAACGGGTCAAATATTGCAATTATAAATATTTAAGGGTACACTTAACTGTTCTGTCAACAAACTGATTTCATTTAAACAAACTATGAATATTAAATAAATAACCAAAGTTAAGTACAATTTGGTCTTTTTTACTTCAGCCGTAATTATAATATTTTAAATTAAACCAGAAGATTCACTTTTCCCAACTCAACATAAATAAATGTAAAGGCTGTAATGATTAATCCCATTTTCAGATATTAAATTCAGCACAATAAATTTACAAACTAAGACCGCAGGCAGGAAATATTTCAATGGAGCGCCGAACAAGTTGTCAGAATATGAATTACAACATTGAATTGACTTTCTCCGGCATTCATTTCCTGCTGCCTTTCACACCTACATACCTAATACACACTCATTTATTCAGACACCTTGCAAGAGTAATCCTTCCCTTCGTATTCTAGGCCACACAATGCGAGATCTGCTTTATGGCAACGTCAAGTGGCTTATTGCGAATAGGCCCTCTCAGGGAGCAGCAGCTGAATGTGTGCCAGCGGACAAGGACAAACCTGACAACAGGGCAGGAGTGTGTCCCCCAAAGCCTCTTTGGGGACTTTTAAGGGCCGATAAACCGGCATTAGTTCGTTCTCGTTCAGGGAAACTCGCTTAATTTCAATTCCAGGCGGCCACCAATCGATGGGGTTGGACTTGCCGCAACTTCTGAACCTTGGCAGTCCGCACATCCCTCCGGTGGCTTGGTGGCATGTCAAAAGTTTCAGTCAACTTCATTAGGCCAAATCTGACGGCCAACAGACCAGGCGGCAGAAGGGAGCATGGTCAGCCAGCCACTTGTGGATATCCTTTGCATTTTTGCCGCTGGCGTTGAAATTAAATGAAGCAGAAACTTGGGCCAAAGTTATTTAACCAGCGATAGGCCGCCGACTTGTCCTTTTCTGGCTGACTGGCTGGCTGGCTGACTGGCAAGAATTAAATACCGTGGCGATTTAAAGGCAAACATTACTTGTACTCGAACTCCTTGTCCTCGTCCTCGTCCTCTTGCTAGTCCTCGTCCTTTGGTTGAGTGAATTCACAGTTCGTTTTCCATGGCATCACCTTGCTAACTTATTCGGCTTTTTGCCGGCTGATTGTGGGGGGCGCAAAGTTTGCCGCTCAGAAAGTTGTCCTCGAGTACCCTGTCGAGGGTAAAATAACTTTGACACAAAAGTTCCCCGGCCAGAACCTTTCAAGCGTCCACTTCCCCAAACTCTTTTGCCACGCCCTGAATGCTAATCAAGGAAGGGAACTTGAGTCCGAATCTGAATAAACTTTGAAAAGTGCAACAAGACTCAACGCCGGGCCCAAAGGAGTCAAAGTTGATTGCCATTGCAATGGAGCTTAACCAATAATTGTCCAATTCTTGGGCAGCTTATTAATGAGTGATGAAAGGGAAATCTTAATAGTCTCTATTTAGCAGTAATAATAAAAAATCCAAGTAGCCTTTTCTAGAATAAATATTCTACTAAAATCAACTGTATAAATCATTGCTTTTTTGGGGAAATAAATCAATTGGCATTAATACTGGCTTCACATTGTTTCAATGAGATTGAAAGTCCTTGGGCATTCGCTGATAGCCATGAGCTGCGGCTCCCTGGTCACCTACCTGGCCATTCGTCTGCTCGAAGGAGAAATGGCGACATTTCAGGATGGAGATCAGGCCTTGAGCCTGGTGGGCAACGGATCCTGGCTGCACCATTGGGATCGTCGGAAGCCCACGCTGGAGCAGTTACACAGTAGCTTTAAAAAAAATGAGCCCTCCGCCCTGCGTCACATCATCCTGGTGCGGCACGGCGAATACTTCAAGACCATGCACGGCAGCCACCTCACGGAACGGGGACGCCTGCAAGCCCAGAGAACGGGAAAGAGACTGCGAGAAATGGGCATGTCGTGGGACCAAATAGTAACCTCCACGATGACACGAGCTGAGGAAACAGCAACGATCATCCTCAAAGAGCTAGATATCGATACGAATAAGATGAAGCACGACTGGCTGCTGCGCGAGGGAATCCCCTATCCGGCGGATACTCTGTACAGCAATGGTCACCGCGAGAATTTGGCCTACCAGCGTGATGGTCCCCGGATCGATGCCGCCTTCCAGCAGTACTTCTTTCGAGCCACTCCGGAGCAGAAGCACGATTCCTATTTACTAATTGTGGGCCATTCGAATGTGATCCGATACCTGATCCTGAGGGCTCTCCAACTGCCACCGATTGCCTGGAAGCGTCTCCATCTAAACCATAGCTCCATTACCTGGCTGACAGTGCATCCAACGGGTTACGTGACCCTTCGCTGCCTGGGCGACACCGGCTTCATCCCCGTGGCCCAGGTGACCAACCGGAGGCCGAAAAAATTAGATAATAGTGACTAACATAGTAACTAGCTCATGATTAAAGCACTTCTCTGCGGAATACGTCATTTTACATCAGGCGAAGTGGATACGTGACTTCCTGCGCAATTTTGTCGCAGCTGAAAACCACTTTAACTTTGGCCAAAATCACTTGGCCAACACATGTAGCTACAGCTGCGTTGGCATTGGCATGGGTATGGGCATTTCTGCATCTGCATGTATGCATTCCCTCTCCAGTGGCCAAATCCACATTCCACATCCACATCCATAGACAGGCAGCCGCCTGGTCGTTGGCACATTTGCGCCACTCTTTTGGGATTGTCTCTGCTCATTAGTGCGGCTTTAATTTTGGTTATTGCGCCTGTCCCATGTTGTTCGGTTTTGGTTTCCGGTTTCGGCTTTCGGTTTTGCTGGCTTTGCCTTCGCTTGGGTTTTGAGTTTGAGTTTTGCCTGGCTTTTGCCAATGTTGCTGCCGTCTTTGCCGTTGGCGTTTCATTAAATTTGCATCCGTCCACAATTTGAATTTAATTTGTTGGGGTGGCTGAAAATTGCATTATACGTGGAGCAGCCAAAGCAGCGAAAGCCTCCGGAGCAGACCAAGCTTCTCAACTGCCACTCACAACGAGTGTCAGCTGCTAAATATTTGCCACAGAAATTCTAGAGCATAAAAAAAGGGAAAATGTTTACTTTATGGCCCTGTTATTGCTGCTGCGGTTGGCTGCCTCACAATGGCTGCCCTCATCGACCCTCAACGTCCCATAAATGTGCATACATAATACGGAAGCCAGGGAGCGATTATTCCATCAGCTGTGGATTGGGGGCAACAGAGTGGATTATTTAAGGGCATACTGATTTATTGACATTAAATTGATAAGACCATAAATGACTTTGATTTAAGGTCCTCTTTACTTAAGTTTTGAATTCCGGAATTTGAGATTTATATTTTTAGGGGGAAATCATTTCAATTTGACAATTTAAAACATACACATAAAGGGACTATAGCTCAAATTTCAAAATGACAGGTAAGTAACACTCGCATTTAAGTTTATACTATTCATTTACATACATCTGCTTAAGTTTGTCGTTTTTCGAATTTACATAAAAGAAAGTCGAAAAATGCACTTCTGGTTTCTCTGGCTTACCCTACTTCGATTCATGGTCAGGGCGGATCACGGTGTCATTTCCGATGTTAGCGATGAAACCTTCGAGTTCCTGATCTCTGGCGGCTATAAGTCGCACGAAAACAGATGGAGCCGCCACGTGGTCTCCATCAGGACGATCAACTATATAAAGTCCACCGGTGACAATCACTTTTGCGCCGGTATCCTAATTAGCAGCCGAGCCGTGCTAACCGCCGCCCACTGTCTGACGGAGTAAGTGTCCTTGATTTCCTTCTATCTCTGAAATAATGGTAATAATAATCACTCGCAGCCAGTACAAGGCCACACTGAAACCGCGTGGCATTCAGGTGGTATTCGGTCACCTTAACCGCCTGGACAACTATAATATCAAGTCCGACAGCCGGACAGCAGATCGCCTGATGGTGCATCCGGATTACGAGCGCTACAAGAAGCACGATCTGGCCATCATCCGGCTCCATCAGCGAATCCCCAGATACAATCCCGACGTGCAGCCAATCATGATACGCAGAGTGGCAAACTTGACCATTAACAATACTTGTGTTACCATGGGCTGGGGTCAGCTGTATCAGGTGAGAACCTATGCTATTCATTCGGGAAAATAATGCAAATTGTTAACTACTTTCAGCATGGACCGTACTCGGATGAAATTCTTTTTCTGAACGTTCTGGTTAGTCCGCCGTCAGAATGCCAAAATATATTGGATACGTACACTGAGGGGGACATATGTGTGCATCCCGATACCAAGGGTAAGATGTGCGCCGGTGACATGGGCGGACCTCTTATATGTCAGGGAGCTCTCGCTGGAGTCATTGCCGGAACTCTAGGCTGTGCTGAGGGCCAGGCCATGAAGTTTGTTAGCTTTCTGCGCTACAAAGGTTGGGTCGAGAAGACAGTTTTACAATTCAGAAATGGTGGCGGTACGTTCTCCATAGACATTCTGCTCTTTTGGAGTTGGCTGGGCACTCAACTCTACATGCTCTTTCACTATCAAAGTCGTCAGGAAAGGAGAGAGTTATAATTTAGTCCTGGCAGTAAGTGTATCGCTGCTGTGCCCCCTTGTGAGCTCTGGGCATTGTAGGTCAGCATTACCAAATGGATCTAATCCATCTGGTAACTGGTTTCTTATTCAAGTAATCCCATTAGGGAACCACAGAATTCGCTTTGCAATAAAGTACATAAGAAACCAAATTTATACATTTTCTGTTAAGTAAATACACAGATTTCCTGTGCTTGTGCTGCTCCCCAGTGCCCCCAGGTAATTGCATTCACAGGAACTGACACAAAAGAGTCACATATATGTACATAAAGTACAATCAAAGGTCCTATCAATGTGGTCTAGCCACTGTTTCCAGCCAGAAACAAACATACCTTTGCTGGGTCATCATTTGCGTTTGATACAGACTCCAGACTTTGCCGACTTTAAGTTTGAAAAGCCCTTCAGGGCAGCGTGCAAATCTGACATAAAATGCATAAATCAAAGGCAAATTGAATTTTAGCCATGAAAGGCACTTCTGGCACGGAGGCATTGCAGCTACCAAGGCCCACAGTTTGCAGGCAATGTCGTCGTTGGTCGTTGTCGTTGCCGTTTTCGTTGTCGTTGTCATTGGCGTCTCCCGCTGAGAGCTCTGACAATATGTTGAGGAAAATTCCGAGGAAAATGACAGTTTTACCCAGCTTTCGTCCCCGATTCACGCTCAACTTTATTCCGCTCACCGCTTTTGGATCTGGCTAAAAACTTTGCCTGGCTTGGCCCGGCGTTGATGCAACTTTAAAGTAAAGTCTACTTAATGCAAAGCTCAAGGCGCCTGCCGCTAACACAAACAAAAACTGCGAAATTGGTCGTTACTACTTATGAGATATATATTTGGCATTTTCACGAGAACTAAAGAGCTTTTAGTCAGGCTTTGCAGAAGATCTAGAGTGACATGGTGCATGGGTACTAAATGGCAGATGGTTCTCAAGAGGTCTTAGGAAAATATAAATTGCATTTTGAGAGGAAAATATTGTCATATGAGGACATATTGCTTTTATTGCCTTTACACCAAATGAGAGTACTGCAAATATACCTGTGATTCTTAAAATATAAAGATGATAAATCATATATATAGGTATGTAAACTTGTACTGTTTGGCGAGACTACCTTTTAGGTAAATTCTTTAAATCTAGTTTAAATATTTTCCCGCCATTTCATCCATGTGTTTTTCCCCCCACAACCGGAAAAGTGTCACCCAGCCATTATTCACCATACGCCTCTTGTCCATATTCACTCGCTGTGTCTGTTGACTAATGCAAAATAGTAAAATAGGGAAAAATTTCTAAGTTTTCTTCGCTGATTATTTGGGCCTAACACCTTTTCAGCGTTCAGTCGTCTGGCGGCGCTGGTCGAGCTTTGTGCTGAAATCGCGAAACAAGTCAAGTGAGAAGGATATATATACTTATATATATATATATATATATATTAAAACAACCGTAATTGATTCCCTCTGGTACGATTCTACTAATTATGTGAACATGAATAATTAATTGTCTGACAATTGGCGGATATGATTGCATGTGCAAAGTAAATAGCGAAAAATTTTCGCAAAACGCGATCCAAAAACCCTCGTGGCCCTCGTTATATATATATTTGCAAATCGATATCGATATCAACTCAATTTCGGGTTTCGGTATTCGCAATGTTCAAATAAACGAAACGAATCAACATATCAAACTAATTGCATTCGAATTTAAATATAACGTTCAATTAAAAGCATGATTTGCAAAGCCAAACCCCCATAATCACACCATATGCATGGATGGGCAAGTGTGCAGGGAGTGTGTGCGTGTGTATAGGGAGTGTGTGTTCAGGGAGTGTGTGCGAGTGAGTCTATAGACAGAGACAGAGACAGAGAGAGAGAGAGAGAGAGTGTGTGTACGAGAGAGCCAGGGCTTCGGTTCGACATCAATCAATTAATTGGGGAATCCAAACGAGGTGCGTAAGTTCATTTGGCGTGCAATTTGTTAATTAATCAAATTCAATGCATTAGCAAAAACTGGAGCGTTAAGTCTGACTCATTATCGGGGAAGTTAAATGAATGCCAACAACAACAAAAGGGAGTTTTGTGGTTCAGTAATGTCATAAAATAAGGTTTAAATCAAAATAATGTTATCTTGAGGTTTTAAAACAATGCTTCAGATGCCTAAATGTAAGCCACAAATGAAACAATTAAATTTTCTTGCTTAGGAGAGTCATATTTGGCCATATTTTTAAGTAATTAAATTTTCATACCTCTTTTTTTAAGCAAACCTGTAATTATTCTACACACATAATAAAGTTTTCAAATCTCCTAACAATTAATAAAACACCTTTAGAATGCACATGTGTTATTTATCACTAAAAATATTTTATTTTACTTTATTTATATGTTCAATAAATTATAGCATACTTATACGAAACCCTTTAAAGTTCTTAAGATGTTCCATTATTCAAAATCATTTCTCCAGGTCCCAAAGTTTTTAGTTTATACTGAAATATACAACTTATTTGTTACTGCTTTCGTTTACTTACTACTCTTTTCTTGGTACAAGACAAATACCAAGCACATTGTTGAATAACTTTATTGTAAGCCCCACAGAGAAAAGCCCTTTCAGTCACTGTTGACCCAATGCATTGAACTCTGCCACCTCGCTCCATAATACTTCGTTTGTTATCATTGTAACGGCTTTTACTAATAGCTCCCTGCCAAGCATGGCAACAGCCACACATATAGCTGCAATAATAGGGAGATAATAGCCGACAACAAGTACCAGTATCGTTGCGTATCGAGTTGCTTTTTGCAATAGCTTGGTCAGCAGCAGCAGCAGCACATTCGAACGCCTTGACTCGTAGCCACTTGGCTAACATAATCGCACATGCAGAGCAAACAGAAGAGATCCATATGTACATATGTATATTCTATATAGAAAGAGGGTTGGGTGAGTTGGGAAGGTAAAAGGTGCCAACACATATGTATATAGGGGGGCGGGGGGAGGACACATTGCAAGAACCAACATCAATGCATCGGGGTATCGAGTTTTAATGACCCACTTTCGGGCTCAAGACTATTTAAGTTTGGTCTAATTCTGCAAGTCCCACGACGGAGCAATTAGTGTGGCCAATGGCCAATGGTCAGCATGAATGGGCGATAAAGGCGGCAAAACGACGCACGTCGTATTGTCAAGGAAAACAAATGAGTTGAGTTTTCCAGCGGCGAAACTTGAGGGGCTTCTTCACGGCTTTGGCCGCCTCCCCTTCTAGAAGAGAAAGAGACATGTTCATGTGGTAAAAGAGAAATGGAGAAAAAGAGATAGTGGAGGAGTCTATGAAAGTCATTACCCATTGATATGTGTGTGTGTGGGCGGTGAAAAAGAGAAATTTTCGTTGCTTTTTTGTTTCTCTTTCGAAAATGTGTTGACAGCATTGGAAAGGGCAAAGACAGCGCAAGACAGCAACAAAAGCGAAACATGAAATTAATAGAATTAAGAGGTGAAGAATTCGATTCAAGGCAACATTCAGGGACGGCAATTAAATGGAACAGAACCTTGTCAGGCTATTCCATGCAGCTGGTCAGCTAGCGGGCACACATGGCGTATACTTAACGTGCAAAACCCTTAAATTAAGTATACGCCATGTGAGTCTCAAGAGAGAATAGTTTACAATAGTTGTGGAAGACTTGTAGTTTTAGAATTTTATTACCCTGCAAGGGTATATAAAATAACTTTGAGGAGTTAAAGACCCACTATACGTAATATAGAAAACTCCACGTTGGGGCACCTTTAAGTTGACCCGCAACAAAAAGAGGTCACTGCTAGGATAATAAATACAATGTAAGACCCACAAAACATTAATTTGTTTGGAAAATATGTGAAAATTCCTCACGACTCTGGCATATTCATTAATTTGGTGAATGTCACATAGTTCCAGTGAGTTGCTAGCGAAGGCCCCCAGGCTAGTTACTTGGGGATATACCCCATACATACATATGAATGCATAATTGGAACATAAAATTCCGAAAATATTTTACAACATCTCCCTGGTACCCAAGCATGTTTGCCTGTGTGTGGTGTGTGTGTCTATTTTTTTTTTTTTTTTTTTTTTGTTTAGCTGGATCCTCATGGTTGTGCCTGTTCCGCATTAATTCATTCGCAGGAGGCGAACCCTGGCCAACAGCAGCGAGAGTTAAGGCCAAGTTAAGGCAGCCATCCGGCCGAAGATGGACCAGCGTAATCTAACACTGCCAACGCCAGCCGCAACAACAATTATGTCCTCGTCATCCGCAGCAACAGCGGCAGCAGCAGCAATGGCCAGCTTCGTATCCGGATCCGGAGTACCGACCACATCTGCGATGGCGGCCACGACACTGGCATTAGCAAATGCAACAACATCAACGGCAACAGCAACGGCGGTGGCCACAGCACCAACAACACCAGCCACATTTTTTACCTACAGCATACCAGGCATGGACATAGCGCCAGGACCATTTATATTCACCTACGTTAGTGAATTTTTATCGCTTATCACGCCCGAGGAATTGCCGCTGGGTGAGTCCTCACTCCTCACTCCTCCAAAATGGGCGTGTCCTTCTGGACTGTATAGTGTCCCTGAATCCATGTGTGTGTGTGGTGTCCATGTATCCATGGATGGGCATTCATGGCCTCTGGTCAGCACGACAACAATAAAGGCATTAGAGATGTAAATTCAGGACAGCATTTGGAGGATAGGCAAGTTATTCGGGACAGATGGAAATTCCCAGTTAAATAGTGCACAGGAATAAATAATGCTATAATTTTGGGAATTTAATTAATGAAGCTATACCAAGGTTTCAAATCATATTTACATACTTTTTTTCATTGAAAAGCTTGACTAATACTAACAATAAGTACCTAAACAATATATTATATGGAATTTAAGAAAACATTTTTCCCTCTGCACTAATACTTTGGTTTCGGTTTAAAACAATCAAGGCTTAAATAGTTTCTGTTGCTGCAAAAACCTGAATAGAGGCTACCGCAGCCGTGAACCTTTTTCCATTAAATTTGCATGTAGGGCGAGAGGATGTGGCTATGGATGTGGCTTTGGTCACCCACATGGATTTTCACTACACAGCCTAGCTTAGGCGGCCTTGCCACAGTGGTCAGGCCATTAAAAAAAATAGATATATATTATATAACATGAGTCTGTAAGTTCTATCCATCGAAATTGCCCCAAAATTGGGCGTGCCAGTTCAGATGGCCGATGAGCAGAAGCTGAACACCTTCATGAAGCGCTATGGCGTAGAGAAGGAGGTAGCTCGTCGGTATTTAAGCTCCAACAACTGGTCTCTGGAGGTGGCCAGTAATAGCTACGAGTCCGAGATGCAAACAGAGAAATCCAAAACCACAGAAGTTCAGGAAAGACCAACCACACAGGAGGATAGCCAAAGGGACCTCCAATCACTAATAAGTCAACATTCCCGTAAGCGGGAGGTTGACCAAACTGGCTACCAGGCTGGCACTTCGAATGACTCCAACTCGGACAATGAACCCACCGTGGAAAAGCATGTGGCCATCGGCAACTCCACACCCGCCCTGACCACCATCGACAGCGATCGGAGTTTGCGAATCTGGGGCCATGGTGTGCCTCTGGGCAGTGCTCACCCCTTCAATCCGCCGCCAGCGCGTCGGCCAGGCGAGGACTCGGACAACGAGAACACCGAAGATGAGCATACCATAGTGGTGTTACACCTCTGGTCCGAGGGTTTCTCCCTAGATGATGGGTCCCTCAGGCTCTATACCCTGCCCGAGAACGAACGCTTCCTACGCGCTGTTCTCCGTGGAGATTACCCCGAAGAGATGCTGGACCATAACCCCCGGCTACAGCTCAGCGTTCAGAATCACACAAATGAATCCTTTCGCAACCTATCGCGAAAGCAGTTTATGGGGCCAGGTCGATCCCTGAGCAGTCCCACTCCCCGGATTGCTGTAGGTGGCACCTCGCAGGTGCAGTTGCCAGTTGCGGTGCAAGTCAACGAGGGAGCAGCCATTACTGTCGTTCAGCTAAGACTTGCCGACGGAAGCCGCGTAACTGGACGCTTTAATCTCACCCACAACATAGGAGATTTGTATCGATATGTACGACTGGCCAGGCCACAGTATTCCTCGAGGAACTTTGTCCTGATGACGGCCTTTCCCCGCCAAGAGCTCCTCGAGACGGACACACGCAGCTTGGTGCAGGCCAATCTGTGCAATGTGGTGGTCATACAGCACCTGAACGATGACCAGGCAACGCAGCTATCCAGTGATAATTCCGAGCTTATACCGAAATCAAAGTCTATCTAGGAATGGGGTTACTCTTAGGATGTTTAGGTGTTTGAAAAAGTGAAATAAAAATTTAATATATGCCATTTAAGACATTTTAACTATAGAAAAAGGTTTATAATTCTTTTACTATATATTGCAGATTCCATTCGCGATGTTCTACACAAAAATGTCAGCCTGCTGGACTTTGCCTCCAATGTGAGTTGCCCATTGACTTGGTGGTGCATTTCCAAAATTTCCTGTTACTCCTTCCGTATCCCATTTAGGCCATTAAAATCGAGTCCGGCTTCATAGCTCTGATGAGCGTGTTCGCCATTTTGGCCCTTGTGCCGCTGATTGCCACCTGTGCCTGGTGCTGCGGTCGTCGGTCCACGCAGGAGGAGGTGGACCACATACGGAATGCACCGTGCAACATCCGCGACGAGGCGCTGGAGGAAAGCTTGCGATGCCGCAAGAGTGCCGGCCTGGTTACCCTTTGGATTGTGTTCGTGCTGCTAACGTGGGTTAAAGCTCTTCGAATGGAACATTTACGAAGTAGTTGAAAGGTTCAATCCCATTGCAGGTTGAGCGACTTTAGTATATTCTACGCTAATAGTCGCCTATCCGCCGGAATTGAAATGACGCCCGAAATGGTCCAGTCAGCCGTTCACGATGTGGAGGTCTTCCTGAAGGACACGCATCTGCAAATCAAACACAAACTGGATAATGGCTTTCACGTTTCCGTGGAGCGGGTCGTCAAAGACTTGGAAGGTCAGTGGGGCGACGAATAAGTTTGTGGCATTCGGCATTCGACAATCGCTTTGCCAACTTTGTACTCGAAGCCGTGCACTTACGGCCTTCGATCCATGCATTATTCTCAAACTTTACCAAATGTATGAATTTATATATGAAGCTCATATGTGCGTTTGTGTGTTTCTCCTCTCCGCAGACGTGGACGTCCTCCTTGGCGAGCCGATTCAAGCGGAAATATCTGCACACACTGGCCTTGAGCTGGCGTATGATTCACTGACGACACTCAGCCTGGGTGAGTACGGATACGAGTAGTGGTAGTGGTAGTAGTGGTGGTACCAGGGCGCTCTGGTTAAGTGCTCCCATGCGATTGCCATGCGATTGTCTGGTTACGGACTTGACCCAAATTCCATTGTTCGTGGCAAGGCGAACATGGCCAGTAGACCTAGTAGATGTGCCATCACTTCCCTCCACCCTCGAACCAACGAACCACCAAAATCCCATTCCCCAGTTGGCCAAACATGACAATAAACCAGCCCCAATAAATTACAGCTAAAATGGGTGTGACCTTTCATTGGCGAGAACGGGTTGTGCCAGCTGCTCAGAGTGGGCGTTGTAAATTTTTCACATTTCTCTTGGTTTAATTTCCATTGATTCTATTGATTTGTGTGCTAAATTAAAGTTTCTTTAAAGAAAGTTAACGCTTTAAAGAGTACGAATCTCATTAATATAAATCCTATAGAGTATAAAAAAACACTTTAAAAATGCACTCATGCAATGCAACCTGTAAAGATAGTTAAGGCTTCAAATAGTACGAATCTCATTAATTAAAAACCTTTATAGTAGACAAATCACTTTAAAAACCCACTCAACATTTATACGAGAAATCTGTACAAATCCCAACAAAAAACATCTTGAACACTCCAAATAGAAGGCTGAAAACCAATGGTAAATATATAGTATCTATAGCCAGAAACGATTGTTTGCGCCCAATTTCATTTTCGAGGAATGCAAACGGAGAATCGTGGAGGATCCGACCGAGAGTCCTCCTCGCGCACAATTGCCAAGATGACAACTCCATTATGGTTCGCCTTCGAACACAATGTGTAATTTGGAATCATGCTATCCTTTGACTCCTTGACTCCCCGTCCGCTGCTCCCTCTCTCTCATCCGTCCTGTCCAAATAAAACACGCTACAATAACGCTGCAAATAATAATATTTTCGTGCATTTGTCGCTGTCAGCGAACGCGGAGCTCATCTATCGCGTCCTCATGCTCCAGGAGACGGTCGGCCGGGCACTGAAGCTGTCCCAGGAGGCGGCCGCCCGGATGGAGGAGCTGCAGATCCAGTTGTCCGTGCTGCAGCGCCAGTGCACGTACCGCGACCGCCCGCTTTGCGATACATTGCGTATACGTAGCTTCGAGGAAAACGGCGTGGTGGACGCACTGAAGACTGTGAGTCCTTTATGGCATAGAGCATAGAGCCAGTCGATTATAAAACGTTTTTATACACTATTTTGTAGGGGGTACCTCTATGGGTTTGAGGGTTTTAAAGATACAAATTAAGATATTTATTAAAGCCCTTTGAATGTTTCATATCTGGAAATGGTGCTAGATATATTTTAACACGCAATAATTGTGGACTAAAACCACAGCTATATACTTAAGCTTATTCCGTAAAATTAACTCACCTTTAAGGGTATTCCAAGATTCGGTTATCGAGCTTAGCCTTCAATTTCATGTTCTACGTATAAATAATTTGTACTTTTACTTCCTGTTCACCCCTTTTTTTCTCCCTCCACTGCACTGTTTTTCTAATTTCACCCGCAATATCTTATTTCCTGGACAACTGCAACGACGACACCGACGACAACGACGACATCGTCGACATCGCCGACAATTTGTCAGCTGCAAGAGGACCAGAGCATCTTCCGTATGCGCTACTTGGGTGAAATTGAATTTGGGGCCACTGTCAAAAATCTGACATCGGAAGTTGGCGTGTCACGTTCCATTTTCAGCAATTTCCCGCAACAAGTTAAACATGACACGGCATATGAGCGGAACTGTGAGTAGAGCAATCAAAGAAAATGCGACAGTCGGTTGCGTATTAATAGAGTTCATCATAACATCCAGCAGTGGCAAATTTACCACACTTGTATCCATCTCTCGAAACAGAATCCTAGTCCCTATTAATCGGCTTCAAAATCCATATTGTTGCCTTCGGCCCAAACTCAATTATGGGACCGAGCTAAATGTACAATTCAATCAATAGACCAGGTGTTGGGCTTCCCATTCAGGCCATAACATTCCCATGAATCTGGCAATGCAATTTCCGAAACACACCAACCAAAGAGATATCCAGATATACATAGAGCTGGGAGGGCACAAAATACTCATAACTCGAGTTTAGTCCCAATATTAATTAGTGTCATTCGGTTCTGCTCTGTGGCTGCTAATTGAATTGGCCACAAAAACTTTCTATCCCGCAGACACGCTGGAGCAACTGGCGAGCATTCGGCATCGGACAACGGCCAATGCCCAGCAGCTGACCTCCATCGTGAACGCACTGCTCCGGCGACTGGAGGGCACATGGCCCTCTATGCAGCCGGCGTACAATGAGCTCAAGGAATGGGCGGACGCCTACTGGAGTGTGGGCTGGATTGCCGGCATGGTGATCGTCTGGGTGATGCTCTTCATGCTGATGTCCTACTGCTGTTTCCTCTGCGAGTCGAACTCCAAGTCGGGTGTGGTCTTCTTTATTGCTGTGATGCTCATCTGTCTGGCCAGCATTGGTCTTACCATTTATGGTGTGTTTTCTCTGGCCATTGGTGGCAACGCCGAGGTCTTTGTCTGCCGATCGCTGTACGATGAGGATTACTCCACGCTGAGCAAGCTGCTGGATAAGCCGGGCTACGCATACGCCCGGGAGCCCCAGACGGGCATCATTGGTGAGCTCTTACGTCCCGCTGGCGTCAATCGTTCCGTGGTCAATGTGGGCCTCGGTCAGGCCCTCAGGTGAGTTCACTAATGTATGTTCATGTGCGTGTGTATCCAGACTTCCCCCAGGTAGCCCAAGCCCCAAGTCCAAGCCAACGCCGAGTAACGAATTTTGTTATCCAATTACTTTGATACTGTACGTGCCTGTAATTTTGATTGCCCCCCAGAGACCATAGAAAAGACTTGCTGCCTCTTGGTGTGTGAAAGATAAGCAAAATGTACTCCAAATTTTATGATCAAATCGATTAGCAATTGAGAGGGAAATTAAGTCAAACAGGAAGCCAAAGTAATGGCAATATATGCTCTTAAATTTACTGTGATCTTACTTGAAAGCAAAACAAAGATTTCGTAATAAATTCTTTGCTTAAATTTTTCTCTTTTAGATTAGATACTACTTCCTATTCAAAATCAAATCATTTAAGGCTTATATTTTAAAGAAAATTTAAAGAAAATCCATAAACTTTCTCTTTTAATTTTCACTTCATTAAAATTTAATTGCAGCGTATTCTCAATCCCACTTAAAACGTATTTCTGCTCAATCTAGACCCTCGAAAAGCACTTAATCGATTCCACTGTGATTACCCATTTCAGTGATTATTGTTGCCACACTCTGAAACTTTTCCTTGCCGGAAACTTGGGCAACCGCAACGCAGTGCCAAGCACCACACTCTCTATCTTCCTACCGCTCTCGACTTGCGAAGTTATTCGGCTTCGAAATGCCAAGCGAATCCATGCCATGCCTTACTGAAGGGTACCACTAAGCACCTACCTAACTCTACCCACCCATCTACCTACCTTACTACACAGCAGCCCCAAGCCACAAAGTTTTGAAAGCCCAATGAAATTTTGCTAGCCACATGGCACTCAATTTTGCAGGGAACACGCCAATGCCAATGCCAATTCAACTAGCCGCACGCACCACCCACGGACCGAGAGCCCAGTACCCAGTACCCAGAACCAAAAACCTATAGACCCAGGCCCACACCCATCCGACATCCCCGTTGTAACCGCAAATTTTAAGCACGATTCCAATTATCCGGGCAGAATACAAAATGCACATGCAGGCGGAGCAGTGCGGGCATAAATTGCCAAAATTTGCCAGGATGCATAGCCGCAACCCTGCCCCTGTATCCCTGCCCCCCTGTGCACCCGATGCCACGTAGATATCATGGGCTTATCCGGTTCAACAACTGAGGACCCAAAAAAAAACAAAAAAGTAGCTCCGCCCTTGGTCCAACCAGTGCACCAGTGCCTGCCCCTTTTGGTATTTTGACGTTTCTCTTTGACAACCTTTTGAAACAGAGGCTGCGAGCAAAATCAAGCATCGTACAATGTCTTTCAATTGGATGCATTCGTGAATACCACCAAAATAGCCGATTTGAAGCAGTTCCCCAAAGTGTCCACCGCCATCGATGCGATATCCGTGTCCGGGCGTACGCTCCTCTCGCTGACGCAGTCCATTCAGAACATACTGGAGAACATGCTGCAGACGTCCTCGTTCAATTTAACCACGTACCGCAGCAGCGTGGGTGCACCCACGCCCGAAAAGGATTTGGCCACGTTCATTGATCAGATGCAGCGGGTGGCCCTGCAGGTGAGTGCATCTAACAGGGAAAGAGCAAAAGCACCTGGCACCCCGCCTGATTAGTTTCAATTAAGAGGGTGGCAGCGGATCTACGTGCAGGGCATAATGTAACCGCCATGCCATTCAATTCGCTCATCCGATTTGTATTTGCCAGATTCAGGATGTGGCCACGTCCTCGCGCATGACCACGCTGGGTAGCAGGGCCAAGCGGTTACAGGCCGCGATTCTCCAGCCGCTGGAGAACCTGCAAAATGAGATACTCTATCACCTGACCGCACTGGAGCTGCAGCGGGATCCCTGGGCCAAGCAGGTCAACCAGACGCTCAACCACCTGAAGAGTATCCAGGGTTATTTGGAAAACAAGGCCGGCGAGATATGTCACAATATGACACGGACCTATACGGATCGGTGAGTTGATATTTTGGAGGAATATATAAAATAATCTTGTTTAGTTAGAGTAAAAATCCCTCAAGGATTAACATTAATCTTTTTGCTTAATCTATGTGTTAATTTAGAATATATATAATATTTGTATCCCTTGTATAATTTAAAACAGAGAACTCTTTACCGATTTCAAAGCAATTTTTAAGCTTCTTAACGGATTACTTAATTTATTCCAACAATGAAGATACCTTCGCCTTTGAAACAAGTTCAAGTAATGGTTATTTAAATTAGAAAACTGTTTGTAAATTGTAATTAAATCCCCACAAACATTTAATATAAATACATAGTTAACAGGGCTATAAAAATATAACCCATAGTTATTTTGTTTTTCCACCTGTGCAAAATCAACTCACCTGTTCAGGCCCATGCACACAGTTTTGTGAAAAAGTTAATTGCGGTAAATTCTCAGTGATTTTAAACCGAAAAGTTGGGGGGTTTGATATCCCACCACCCACCATTCCGCACTCTCGAAAATGCTCCGCTTTTCCAGCCACTTTCCCCACCGCCTGTGGCACTTGGAGCTGCATTCTCCGTCTGTCCGTATGTCTGCGTGTTTGAGTTTTATTATTGTGTTGCTCTTTCGGTAGCTGGCAGAGAAACAAACAACTTGAACAATTGCTGTGCAGCTGAGAACCCCCGGAAAACTCCACATAGTTTCTGGCTTTATCAGATAATTGAAAGTCCTAATCGTTTGATTAAGTTTGCCAAGTGTCATGATTGCATTTTCAGTGTTTTTCCAAGTGTACACTTAAGGTGCCACACACATGCACTCAAAGGTAGCCCAGGAATGCAAAATATTTTGTTTTACTGAAACTGGTGAATGTGCGATGACAAATTCCTTGTGCAATTTATAATGGTTTTGAAATTGTTACAGCCACTTAAGAGATGAAGGTCTCTTCTCTAAGCTAAAGGGACAATAAACAAATAGGTTTTACTTTAATATTGAAGTGAACTTAAGCATAATCTTGTAAGTGCTTGGTTATTTTTTTAATTAAATGGAATTACTGGAGAGTCTGTCGATTGGTAAGAAACAATTTCTGATGCCCAAAGTTACAATACAAAAATGGAAATTTAAAAAAATCAGCAGACATATTTTTCATCAAGCCTTTCCTGATTGATTCGATTACTTTCTGGAATATATTTCCCAACACTCTCTCCATCTCCATCACAGCCTGAAGGCCTACCTGACCAGCAGTCGTGCCACCATGGAGTCCCAGCTGGGCGATACCACCACCAAGTGCCGACCCTTCTACGACACCTTCGATGCCAGCCGCTCCTTCCTCTGTCACAACATGGTGGACTTCATCAACGGCCTGACCTTCTTCATTTTCCTCACTCTGCTCCTCTGGGCCATAGGCACTCCGGTTGGCCTTAATTTGATTACCGTCCAAACCCGTCTGAATGCCATGCAGGCGGCCCAAACGCGCAGCAAGAACCGCCATAGGCGGAGCGACCGGAGTCCGGAGCAGGAGCAGCGCGGCGAGAGTCGTGGCAGGAAGAAGCAGCGAACCAGCAGTGCCGCGGCCAGCGGCAGGAGCGGCAAGCGGGAGAAGAGCCGGGAAAGGAGCACCAGCAGCACGGCACGACCAAAGCCACCACTGTAAGTCATGGGTAGGGAACACACTCTCATCAATCCAAATTGAAGCAGTCGGTGCTAAGAGGTTTTCTCTTTTTTGTAATATTAATTTTTATGTAAATTTAAAGGATGTCTGAAAAACGAACAAACTTTCCATCGATGCTCATATACATAAATGACCCGACCCTTGCTCTCTATACGGAACTATTAACATATAGACCTCACCTTTTTCACAGACGACGCACTGCCACCGAGGAAACCCTGGACCTGGCTGACGAAGATTCAACTCCATCAAGGGAACAGCAGCAACAGCAACAGCATCAGCAGCAGCGGCGGCAGGAGCAGAACCAGCGGGAAACGGATAGGGAGCGGGAGCGGATCAGGGATCAGAGGAGTCGGGAGCGTGAACTGAGCCGTGGCCGCGACGTTTCCGCCTTGAACACGCCGGTGCGCAGCCGTAGTCGCCAGCAGCTGTGAGTAGAGTAGAGATTCCCCATTGAGGCGCCGCATCTCAAGCTCATTCAATCATTGCATTAGGCGCCACGACCCCGAGGATGACAATTGGGGTTCGTCCAGTGGACCCAGTAGGGCCAATTCCCATGAAAGGGAACGTGAAACCAGTCAGACTAGAAAGATTCTGAATATTTGGCAGTCGCGTAATAAGATCAAGCCGCCGCTGTAAGTTGAGGGCCGCCCGAAACCCTAGAAATCCCGCCTCTGATAATTATTCCCTTTTTCTGAAAAACAGTGGCCGGCAGGGCACTGAGGAGTTCGACTTTGAAGATCATCCCGAGGACAGTGGTTGGCGTAGCCAGAATCAGACTCAGAGCCAGAACCAGAATCAGAGTCACAGCCATACCCATAATCAGTCCAGTGTTAGTCCAGAGCAACGACCCACAGATCCGCGCAGCCATCGCCCCAATCTTCGTACTAAGCCAAAGTTGTAAGTGACTCTGACCCTGACCTCTCCCCTGATTGAGGTCCGCAGCATCCCACTCACTCTGATTGCCCCAAAAACAAACTCTCTGCATGCCAGACGTAGTACTCGCACCAACGCGGATAGAGCTAGCAGTGAAATGGTCCGGCGTCCTGTAACCCCCGTGCTTCGCGTCAATCCGGACATTCCGGCCGCCGTTCCGATGCCCCGCACGCCGATGCGATTGAAGAGCAAGGTATCACTGACCGCCCGAGCCGTGCAGGACATTGTCAACAAGCGGAATCAGCGCCTGTGAGTGTCCCATTGCCAGTCCCAGGACTCCAAAAAGCAATCCCTAGGCCAGTTAGAGAAGAGCACCCACTACACTCACCCCGTCCATTGGCCTATATTTATCTAGGAATAAATATATTACAAGGTGCACTAATCTTATATATTCCACAGCCAACGCACTGGCACCGATGAATTCGACCTGGACGAAAGCGATGCCTACGGTGCTGGAGCTCATATGGATGCGGACGTTGCGGCGTAAGTTGGAGGGAGAGGGATAAGGAGTGACAGAAATCTTTTACAATAAGGTCTCTCCAAGCCATTGAGTACCTCAAGCTCACTCCGATTTACCTATGAATGAATAAATATCTGAACAATGACGATATCAATTACTCAGCAAAGTTCTGAATACTCAGACCTCTAAACCTCATTGATTTCTCAAGGGGTTCAGCGAACCAATCGGTCTGTCGAGATTTCTGTGACACCCGGATAACTGAATAATTAGAGATAATGAGCTAATGGTAACTTGCCCAATAACAAATATTAACATTCTCTACATTTTCCAGCGCTCGACGCACTCCGCCCAGGGGCGCTCCGCCGCCACCGCCTCCGCCAGCGGCCGGCATGAACAGGTTCTACCAACGTTATTAACCGTATACAGTTGCCAAAAAAATGAGTTTGTTTTTTGTCTTGCGTTTGATTTTGATTTTGAATTTTTTGATTGATTTAATCGAATCTTGTGCACATGCCAGAGACAAGAGTACCAACCGAAAAACACACACAAATTCTTATTGTGTTCACAGCGACAAAGTCTATATATTCTGAACTTACTTTCTCTCCCCGAAAACCGATCTCGCTTTCTCCCGATGGTAATAGCGATCGCACGGTGCGCTGGAACGAGGACGAAACCGAGGACTTTGAGTTCGAGGAGGCCGACGCACCGAAGAGTCCCATGTATCTGAGCCACAACCTTCACTGAGGAACCCATCGATCTTCTTCTCAAGTCCCCCATCTCAAATATATATTGGAGTTTCTTTTGTATTTCGCTTCTATCGCTCCCTAGTATATAAGTGAAATGTAGTTATAGTATCGAACCAATATGTTGTAGGCATTTAACAACCGTAATAAATCAATAATCTATAACGAATGAATACTTTACAACCATCAGTGGTCCATTTTGTGCAGTCCCCCCAAATATGTTGAAGATAATAGTGTACAGCCTTCTGCTCCTGGCTTGCATAGCAAATCATGTGCAATCGAAACGATTCACCTCCGTCCAAATGTTTAGTCAGGTGATAAACGATCTACCCGATGACAATGTTAACGTATGCCCTCCGGCGATAGAACTGGCCCTGACCCAACTTTACCTTGCAGCCGGAGGAGCAACCGAGAGCGAACTGAAAAATGACCTGGAAATCAATGGTAGCTCTAAGGGAAGTATATACGAGAGACCCCTTCCGCCGTTGGCCTCAGAGGGAAATCCACGGATTCGAGTTGCCGGTCGATACTATACACGGAAGGGAACCCAGATCCAATCGACTTATCAGAATACCCATGTAAAATATCTGAAATCCGAAATCGAAAACGTCGATGACAGTGACAAATGGCCCGCGACGATTAACAAGTGGGTTACTTCGAAAACGGAAAACGATCTTGAGGACCTCATTGACCCGCTACAGGTCGAGGATTCGAGAAGTCTCTTTATGACTAGTACCGTCAATTTTTCTGGCTCATGGAAGCAACCCTTCAAGCCCACTGCTAATGCCATGTTTTATATAGCGGACGAAAGTCGTTCGGAATCGGTTAAAATGATGCAAGTGCTGGGCAACTTTAAATACACTTTTGAAACCGGCATAGACTGCCACACGGTGGTCATTCCACTTTCCAAATCAACAGTAGACCTGGTTCTGCTAATTCCCAGAACCTTTTATGAGATTGCAAAAATAGAAGAGGGTCTGAAGAACATAGATGTTCGTAAAACAGAATTCAGAAATGTCAATCTCTCCCTGCCTCAGTTCAAATTCCGGTATAGCCGAGATATGGTCCAAACTCTGATCGATATAGGAATAACTGAGACGGTTTTTGACGACACAAATCTCTCAGATCTTATCCAGATTAATAAGAAATTGAATATCGACAGCATAATGCACTCGACTGTCATTCAGGTTGACACAGAAGGAATCAAGTCATCTTCCGCCACAGGTTCGATATTATCACAAAGACATGGAAGTACTTATGCATAACAATTTTATCTTCATTTTAAGGCATCGACGTGCTATCCTCCTTAAAATCGCGCACTGATTCCAATCAGTTTCTGTCAGAAATAGAAAATGGTTCGATATCATCATCAATTTTAAATCAATTTTTAGATCGCAAGAAGAGGTCTCCACAAGCTGCGCAGGCACTATCGTATGTAAATTTAGTGGTTAATCGTCCTTTCTTGTTCATCATAAGGGACGCTAAAACCATTTACTTCTTCGGTAGGTACAGTCATCCTTCTGGGATATAAAATAAAAAATAAATCATAGAATCCAAGGTGCTCGAAATAAGTTCACATATATTCGCTTGAATAGGCGCTTTATTTAGTTATCAAATCGTTTGGATGGATCAATGGGTGCATGTCTGGCAACTTCCCGTTTACTTCTTCTTCAGGAAGGGGCTGACAATGGCTGGAGCAGCATAGGTGGAAATGGGAGCAGTGTAGGCGGTCACGGGAGCGGTATAGGCCGGAGCGCTGTACACCGAAGCGGTGTAGGCGGGAGCAGCGGCAGCATAGGTGGAGTAGGCAGGAGCAGCGGCAGCATAAGTGGAGTAAGCAGGAGCAGCAGCAGCATAGGTGGTCACGGGAGCGGTGTAGGCCACAGGAGCAGCGGCGGCATAGGTGGCGGCGTAAGGAGCAGCAGCATAGGTGGTCACCGGAGAGGCGATGAAGCCAGCCTGGGCGGCGGCAATGCAGAGAGCCAAGCAGATGAGGAACTACGGGAATACAAAACAGAATCCTTTAGCATTCTATCATTCATCCTGAATGGCAGGCTACGGCTTACCTTCATGTTGATTTGGTTGGTTTGGGTTTGTTGGTTTGTCAGCAACTGATGCTGTTAGCCACTTTTCTCTGTCATTTTATAGGCCAATTTTCGCCACTTTGGCCAAAACGGGTTTCCGGCTTAGGCAGCCCCAAAATTCAAAAAAATCTAAATTAGAACACAATTGCGTCCGCAGCTCAAGATTTCTGCCAGGTAACGTTCAATGAACGCGGATGCCGCGCCTCGCACCGGCGTGTCAAATGGATTACTCTTTTCCAGCATTCACGGCAAGAGATCTGATGGCGACAACTGAAATGGACAGGGAATTAGAATTACGATTCTGATTACTGATTACCTTTGACGAAACAATTCGGTGTGTGGGCAGACTCACCTCTCCGCTGGGATTTCCACTTCAGCTACTCCGCTTTGTCTTTGGTCACTACCTATTATTATTCTATGGATTGGCTCAAGTACTTGTCAAAACTTAATTGATAGTTAAAGATTAAGTAGCTATTTGGTAATGACTAGGAGTATTTATAAAGTATTTTTAAAGTATTCTGTGCGGTTAGCAGGAATGTCTACGGAATATTGTCCGCATAGTTTATAATCTACCGTGAAATACAAAAAGGTAGCTTAGTTTTAAATGGCTAATCTTAGCCTACGACTTTGGTTCAAGGCACTTGGAATTATTGAAGAATAGGTCGCCCTACGCCTTAGTTTCCGGCAATGTGGCTTTTATCTTCACTTCCACTGAACTTGGCGGCTTCTTGCGTCTCACATCGATCTCGTAAAGTGCCAGTCCCAGTTGATGGACAAAGGAACTAAATTGCTTGTTCAAGTAAGCAAAGCTCAGAGCTGGCGGCTGCTCCACAGCGCAGGTTCCTCGAAGATCATCGTGAGCCCAGTGGGGAGCGTCCACATCGCAGGGATGTCTGCCCTTTAGACGAGGAAACGCCTCCGTGGAGAGATGCGGATAAAACACTTTCAGCAACTCAAAATTGAGATAGCTGCTGGCATTGGACTGAACTAATGCCTCATGGAGATCCGCGCTGAGAGAGGCGGGTATGGCCAAGTAAAGCTTGTAGCGCAGGCGACTTGGTCCGGACTGTTTCACCTCGCAATTGCCACTGATGAGCTTCACCTTCTTCATCAGGGTATCCAGGGAGAGGCCACCGTATTCGTATAAATAAAAGTCCCTCTGGCGGCGATAGCGCTGATGCGTTTGCCTATTAAAGTGCAGCACTCGGGAGCTGGGAATGTTGAGCAGGTGCAGTGGCAGGCTGTAGATGTGCGAGGTCATCAGGTGGACGTGAGTGGCCGCCGGCTTGGTAGCCATCACATGCGACATGTCTGCTGCCAGGGGATAAACCCCTGCCTGATGAATGAAACCGAAGAAGAGGGTGAGCGCCACATTGCTCACATACCAGATCTTCAGGAGATACGGACCGGAAGCCTTGTTCGAGAGCCATCTGTCGTAGAACCAACGCAACAGCGGGTGTTCTTTCTGGAAGGGATACTTGGCACTAAATCCGGTAATCAGCTTGGGAGCGTGTAGCAGTAGCAGTGGGAAAGTCACTGGCAGCAGGAAGCGCGCCTCCTGATGGTTGATTAGTGATAGAAAGAATAGCGGCACGAAGATGGCTCCTGACATGAGCGACACAATGCTTTGGAAGCGCGGCAGCACTTGGTACTCAGCCCTGAAAAAGCGCAGCAGCAACTGGGCAAAGGCACCCAGCGAAGCCAGGGCCAGGACATTGAAGAGCATCGGCATGTTGACCATCAGATGAACGTAACAGGGATGCACACCATGGCTGGCCGTTTGCGCAGAGTCCAGGTTTGCTTTTATGAAGTTCCAGGGCGTGAATACAAAATTATCGATGTTCAGGTGCATCATGTGCAGCTCGCCCACGGTCAGGTGCTGGTAGTATAGCGAATCGCAGAAGATGAATACCACGAGAGCAGGCAGCGCACACAAACAGAAGAGCATTATGCGCAGATTAAAATCCCGGAAGGTGACGGTCCGCGTGCCCATCCCGCGCAGCAGCCAGAAGAAGACCATGGGTGCTCCAAAGAGCAGGAAGGTGGGCCGATTGAATACCCCGGCTACACAGATCGTGGACATGGCCAGCAGATGCTGCAGATTATGCGGCGGCAGGGCGTTCTTTAGCTTCCAGATGCGCACACGCTCGCTAATTGACTCCGCCTTGTCGTACTTCTCCTCGAGGAACTCCTTCTTGTACACCACCGTGTTCGTGCGCAGCATGCATTCCGAAACCAAACAAAGCAGCCACGAACACATGGCCATTTCCAAGCTGTTGGAGAAGGTGCGCGTCCCGAAGACTAGCAGCACCCAGGAGCTGCCCAAGGCCAGGAGACGGATCTCGAAGCGCAGTCCGTATAGCCGGCAAATCCTGTACAGACACCAATCGTTGCTGTACGAGATTAGGGTGTAGACAAGCCGCGGAAATACCACGTAAGCATACGTGCCCAGCAGCTCCACATCCCACCAGGTGCGCAGGTACATTGCTATGAACTCGTAGAAACTCCAAGGCACACGGAGCAGTGCAAATGGCAACGTTATGCTCCTCACCGGCATCGAGTTGTTGAACTCCCAGGCGCGCGTGTGCTCCAGCCGAAAGTGGTCGCCTGCAAAGGGTATATATTAAAGAACCACTCTTTACCTAAATTAATTTTCAATCCTCACCAGTCATTACTTCAACGCTCTGGAAGAACTCATCCGGGTGCACATAGCCCAATTGGGGCACGAAAACCAGCAGAAGGCGGACCGCCGCAAAGCACAGATATGTGCTCAGGTGACGGTCACCCGGTGACCGATTCTGCCACAGCTTGGTTAAACGCATTTTGTAACGGTTATCAACTATAAACTACGGAAACTCCACTAGTTTTACGGATATTTTTGATAAGAAAATTAACGCGATTGCATTTGTTTTGGTTTTTTGTTGTTTTTGTTTTTACATCAAATATCTGACCCCACGACTGCTGGTCACATTAAAATTTCGTGATGCCATACCTTGCAATAAAGTTTGCTCCTCTTTTCCTGTTTCCGCTCTTGTACCTTTTTAGCCAAAAAAAAATCCTTGATATGGATGCGAATTTTTGGCCACGTCAGAATCAAATGTAACTTTCTTAAGGAAAACAAATAAAAGACCCTAAATAAATAGGCATTGAGAACTCAGAATCGTTAATAAAACGTTGCCAGACCCTGAAATATACCACCACACGAAAAATACTAACATTTGATTCTACAAGACAGTTTAAGGACAACTGTACGTATTTGGCGCTAAAGTTTGAGAGTAATTGTGAATTTAAAATAGAATGTTTCTACAATAAATAAATATTAAGCATTCATTTTGAAAATTTTACAATATTCCTTTATTTTCATGTGCTTTAGGTTCGTTTTAAGAAATGTATATAATCCACTTGGTAACTATAAGGTTGTATTTAATTTTCAGGCTCCATTTTACCTTTAAATAGGCTTTGTTAGTAACTGTTGAATACTTTTCTATGTCTCTTAACCTTCATTTATGGTTTGAACAATTAATATCCCATTAATTTGCATTAACTAATCATTTGTTTTAACCCGTTTTAAACCTATCACCTCCACCACCACCTGATCCCACCGATCAATTGCAATCCATTCAGCTGTCGCGCCTTCCGTTTGCTTATTTTACGTTCGAGCCGATGACGTAGTTTGCGGCTTGGCTAGGAAATTTGATATTAAGTTACAGTTACATAAGCCCCAGGTCTGTGGCCAAATAGTTCATAAACGCACAGCGATGATACGTCGATGAATAATACTCGAACAACCGAGGCACTGCATCTGTAGTCCAACAACCAGACAGAGCAGCGTCTAAGGGCAGACAGGAAAAGTAAAAAACAGAAGTGTACATTGTTATTAAAATGTTAGAGAATAAATATACAAATATATTTATAACATATATAAGACTTTAGCTTGTTTTGCGTTTCTTGTTTATTTTAATTTGAAACCCAATAAAATTGACCCTCATTTCCATTTAATAAATATTCCGGTGTATTTTTATATGGTGGGGATCGGGATCGGGATCGTTACCGCCTACCCCAACCACAGAAAACGTGTGCAGCCCATGACGAAGGCGGCCAGTTGACTCCATATGAGTCTAACGCCTCCGCGAAGTCCCCCGATCCGCGATTCGCAATTCGCGATTTGCAATTACGTAGAATTACCCACTTGACAAACCGTGTCGAGTGTGCGCGCAACGCTCGCGGCATCTGGGCTCGCAATAATTAGCAAAAATAAATACATATAAATAAACAAACAAACAAAAACTCAAATTAAATTCCAACTTTTTGTTCGAGAAAAAAAAACTCTAATCATTCTCTCGGAAATCAAGTGAAGCATCGCCGACAATTTGAGAGTCAGATAGCAAAAGCTATTCAAAGGGTAAACAACTGGGAATATCCGCAACGAAAGAGTGTTGAAACCGATTTCAACCGAATTTTGACTATCTTGTTAGTTAATTGGGATTGTCAATCATATTTCTAGGGAACTATAAATTATTTTCTTATATAAAATTATTTAGAGAGTGAAAACTAACAAGCAAGTGAAGGGAGCTCAAGTGAAAAGTAAAGAAAGTGCCCAAAAATGTTCTAAAATGTTCAAGTCCATCTTAAACTAAATAAAATATGTGCTAAGTTGAATATTTTGTGATGTAACTAAGTGATTGTTATAATAACTAAATTAACAAAATATATACAATAATGTTTGTTAATTTACCGTGTGACCTGCTGCTTCCTCAATTATCTATTTCAACTTGAAACAGAATTAGTGAAATGAAACTTTTCCTCTTGTCAAGCGGATGGACAGTTTAGTAATGTGGCAAGCATTTAACAAGGCTTCTAGGCAAACTTAATGGGCCACGCCCCCTGCTCCAGCCCCCACCCCCAGCGCCCATTAAACAACTTCGATGAGCAACAGTTGGCTGCAATTTAAGTTACACTTTTTGCCACCTGTCGGACCCAGTTCCTCACTGAGCCGCCCCAGCTGCAACCCCAAAAGGATAGCCGAAGCTGATTCGCCTCGTCGTCCTGCCAACGAACTCCTGGCGCCCGCCTGCGCAGCGCGTGTATAAAAGGAGGACTCCGGCCGGAGGATTCATCAGTTGGCCCAGCGGAGCGGCGCGCGTCTCTCAGATCGGACGCCAGAAGGAAGCCAAGCTCGAGGAATTTGTTTTAGTTTTGTGCAGTGCCATGGACATGTAATAAATTAAAGTGTTATCGGTTAAAAGAAATTAGTGCAAACTTTAAACTTATTTAACAGTTTTATTAAAAAAGTAAGTGAATTATTTTACAAGCTTGTAAAATCACATTTAGTTTTTTAAAATTGATTATTTTATAATTATTTTGCCAGCAAATACTAAATTTTACATAGACAAATTTTACAAATTCTTTTAAAAACTCAGAAAGTAGAAAAAGATTTTTATTTATTATATATACTCCAGAAATATCAAAATTTTAAAGATTTTGGGAATAAAGTGTGAATTTTATGCATATATTTGTTAGATTTATAATATTTCGACTTACAGTTATTATTATATAAAAATCTAAGCAATTTTTTTCTAATAGAAAGCATTTCTCTTTTTATATTGAATTTGGTTTATAAAGTTTTTACCTTAAAAAGAAAGAATTTCTTTTTTATATAATTTAAATTGAACACTTCCCAAAAATATTAAACGCTATAAATCTCTTAATATATATACAATAGTCATTTACCCTATATTAAAATTAAACTTAGTACGTCAGTGAAACAAATAATTTCAATTAAAAGCGTATTAATATTTTAATTTCCTTATCTGTTGAGAAGCATCTGACAAAGATTATTTTGGCCACCATATCTCAAAGCGCTTTTTGATTGTTTTGCATTTTTTTTAGCACCTCGGTTTGTATTCTTAGTACTTGTCTTATCAAAACGATTTAAATTTTGAAATTCCAACTTGCGTACGACTTTCTCTCTTGGCTTTATCATTGCTGTGGCTTCGCGTGTGGGTAACAATTAAATGGTAATTAAAAAGCTAAAATGGATGGCGATGGGGTAAACCCCGTCGCGTAGACCGTGTGCGCTTCGTTACTCATACGCCCTGGTGTTCCACAGAAGGTGTGCCATTTAGGATTTATCGTCAAATAAAATAGAAGTTTAAAGCTGAACAATAGTCAGGGAATTGCAATTACCACGACATTGACATTGAAAGTGAGTTTTTTTATTTCATTTTTTTTTTTGGAGGCCACCATTAAAGGACATTGCGGATGTTCGAAATCAGAACTCGATGCGGTCAGGGGCATTTACATTTTGCGATTTTTCGTTTTGTATTTACGATTAAAAATCTCTTGCTGGAACTGCAACATGCAAAAATATCTGTGTTAATTTCAATGCCTCCCTTGGGGCCGTCAATAAATGGCCACCATTAGCCAGGCCCCATTTAATACGGTTTTCGATTTAAATCCGATTTCATTTATTGACCAGCCCAATCGTAGTTGTCGTCATCATCGGCGGCAGATCCAGCATGTGAAGTGAGCCGTAGGGAAAATGCAATTTCCACGAACGCACACACGCTAAACGGGGTGACGGGACAAGCGGGAAAAGTGGAAAACAGGAAAGGTGGAAGAGCGGAAAAGCGAGCGAAGCAGAACAGATCGCCAAAGGACAACGGTGAGTCGCAGTGTTACCTTCCTGGACCGCGGACCGAGTGCAGAGTTCGGCTGGCTACGCTCGTGCCGCGATCGGCGTACACTGCCACGCCCCCCGGCACAACGCCCACGCCCAGGTCCCCGGCACGCCGCCTCAGCATGGATCGCAGCGGAAGCGCAAACAATGGCTCCGAATTTGGCGGCTGCGGCGGCGGCGGTGGCGCCTCCGTCGGTGCCGCTACCACGACGGGTCGAGCCAACAACGCTCCTTGGAGCAATGACAAGGAGTCGCCAAATAATGAGGATGACTCCAACGAGGATGACGGCGATAATGCATCGCCAGCTAAAGTTACCGATCCACTGGCCCCACGATTGGCCAACAACGAGGTGAGTTCTGTGGAAACTACCCATTGCTTATTGTTAATTGTATATTGTTTATTTCAAAGTATACTTCCTTTATTGTTTTTAATAATACCTTAAGAAATATAAAAATTAAATTAAGTAAAAATAATTAATAGACCAATCTCAGTCATACATTATATAAAGTATATATCGAAATAATTACAACAGGAAAGGAAGCTAACTTCGGCACGCCGAAGTTTGTATACCCTTGCAGACTGAAATTCTATGACTAGGAATTAATTCAATATAAATTATATATATTTATCTATATAATTTGATGAAAATCTAAAACTGGAAAAGTTTGTATACCCTTGCTGACTAAAATTCAATGACTAGGAATTAATCCAATATAAATTATATATATTATATATATTTATCTATATAATTTGATAAAAATCTTAAACTGGAAAAGTTATAATTTTTTTCTTTAAATATTTAGATTGTTCCTATGGCAGCTATATATATGTATACATATATATAGTCCACCAATTCGCCATGCTCCGACTTATATACTAGTAAAATTATATAGGCAAATAATTCCATAGTTTCATTCAAATAGCTTAACTTAAATTTGTTCCAAAAGAAGTCTCGCACATCTGTGCATATGATTCCCAACTGGTTCTAACATCCCCGGAACGAAGTGTGTTCTGCCAGGCGAGTCTTAGAAATGTGTTGTGTTACAAAGTTGCAAGTCATTGTTTATTAGTGTTTAAAAATACTTACTGGTCATAGATACCTACTGGTCAAAGTTACTTACTTTTCATTGGTACTTACTAATCAGAGTTAATTACTGATCATAGTTACTTATTGATCTTAGTTACTTACTGGTCATAGATACTTACTGTTCAGAGTTACTTACTGCTCATAGATAATTACTGATCAAAGTTATTTACTGATCATAGGTACTTCAGATAGCTTTAAATCTAATTATATAAAAATATGTTAAAAACTTCATATTATTATTGCATTTTTTTACTATTTAAAATTTATTTTCTAATACATTTTCTCCCTGCAATTACAGCGAATTTTGGTGGTATCTGTGACTGAGAGGACTCGAGAGACTTGGGGCCAAAAGGCGGAATTCCTGCTGGCCGTGATTGGATTTGCCGTTGACCTGGGCAATGTGTGGCGATTTCCGTACATTTGCTATCAAAATGGAGGAGGTGCCTTCCTGGTGCCCTACTGCCTCTTCCTCATCTTTGGCGGTTTGCCCCTCTTCTACATGGAACTGGCCCTAGGACAGTTTCATCGTTGTGGCTGCCTCAGCATCTGGAAGCGTATCTGTCCGGCCCTGAAAGGTGAGTGAAAAGCCCCATAAGAAATCCTGTATTCAAAATGGCATCAAAATAAATTCCATAAAAAACTCCGCCACATGAGCTTTAAAAAAAATGATGTACAAATAAATGTGATGATGCCTGGGAGCTATCAAATAGGATACAAGATTAAATGGCAATTTAAATGAATTACAAATATTGAGTTTTAGTCGCATATTATAAAAAAAGAAAGAAAAAAATGCGTGATTGCATATTGGTATCCATAAAGCCATTCAATATTTGCGCAGAACGAAGGCCTAACGCCGGAGGGGCTAGCATTTTGTAATGAGAAATTAAGTATACGCAGCGGGGACATGTGATGTTGCCGGGGCATGTGTGTGTTGTTGATGCCTGATATTTCGCGCTTGGCCGAGCATTATTGTCTCAGCCAGATTCTGTGTTAGCCCGCACTTGTGCTGGCCCAAAAAGGACAAAGGACCAAAGTTGCTACTGCATTGTTTCCCTTTTTCGGCGAAGGGATATATGGATATCTGACTTTAAAATCCGTAACCCGGGGAGGAGACATACAATTGTGTGTCAGCGACATTATCAGGCAGTCGAATGGATAAGAGTCGCCAGTTTATGTTGCAACAATTAACAGCGCATTCAAGTGGAACGCACAAAGCCCAAATCAGGACCTACATCCGGGCCTGGGGGGCACCAGCTTCTCAGTTCTTCAACTCAAGGCCTAATTAAATTGTCCTCAAATTGATTTACAGCCATGAATAGATACACCCACCCAAGGGGAACTTCTATTCAAAGTTTGCATATCGAGTTGATAATTTCATTAAGTGACAAACAAAATGTATTATGGCCGGGATCTGCGATGGTCTCTCGCTTAAAGCCTGAATCAAAAAACTTTGCCAAGTCACTACTGGTCTAGGCCAAATCCCACCCTCCTATTCAAAAGTCGAAGAGCAAACATCACTTTGTGGCAGTCATCATTTGCTCAACAAGTGTTTGCTTTGGCGAACCTTTTGCCAAGCGACTCGAGCGTCTTTAGTCCTTCGAAATGAATGGAAAAAGCAGCCGGAAAGCCGAGAGCAAAGCGAGTGGAAACTGAAAGGAGGGAAAAATCACGTGACGTGTCTTATTGGCCTCATAAGTAAACTGGCAGTAGAAAGTAAAAAAAAACGGTTTGTTCAATGGCTGAAACATGAGAATTGTCACGCGGGAATATTCCAATTTCTATTTCCTTTCTGGGTCTCATTGTGCCGGCTTTCAATCAGGAATATTGGCATTCCCAGGCTAAAAGGAGCTGGCTTTTAAGTGCTACCTGTTGATTTGCATGCTGTTGTGGCCTTGTTAGCAGGAACAATCAGCGAAATTAATGGTGAAAAATATGGATTCTTGGGGGTGCTTCTGAAATGTTTAACCTGTTGCTACCTAGAACTTAACTAAATTAATTAAGTCTTAAACTTAACCTCAATATTTAATATTAAATTCTCGCAGGTGTTGGCTATGCGATCTGCCTGATTGACATTTATATGGGCATGTACTATAACACGATTATTGGCTGGGCGGTGTATTATCTCTTTGCCTCGTTCACCTCCAAACTGCCCTGGACGTCCTGCGATAATCCCTGGAACACCAATAACTGTATGCCGGTGACCAGCGAGAATTTCACCGAATTGTCCACCTCACCGGCCAAGGAGTTCTTTGAGTGAGTACCTCTTATATCCTGTTAAACGGTATCCTTTAAGGATTATCTTCACAGACGACGAGTGCTGGAGAGCTACAAGGGCAATGGGTTGGACTTTATGGGTCCTGTGAAGCCTACGCTGGCACTTTGTGTCTTTGGCGTCTTCGTCTTGGTGTATTTCTCTCTGTGGAAGGGAGTACGGAGTGCTGGTAAGGTGGTTTGGGTAACCGCACTGGCACCCTATGTGGTGCTGATTATCCTCCTGGTTCGAGGAGTATCTCTGCCCGGAGCGGACGAGGGCATCAAGTATTATTTGACACCGGAGTGGCATAAGCTGAAGAATTCCAAGGTGTGGATAGATGCCGCCTCGCAGATATTCTTCTCCTTGGGTCCTGGCTTCGGGACACTGCTGGCCCTGTCCAGCTATAATAAGTTTAATAACAATTGCTACCGGGATGCCCTCATCACGAGCAGCATTAATTGTTTGACCAGTTTTTTGGCCGGATTTGTCATCTTCTCCGTGCTGGGGTGAGTAAAGAGTTATTTAAATAATATATATGTAGAATAAAATTAATTTAAAGAATTCGTACAATACTATTATTAATATATGTTTATAAATCTCTCATATTTAATTTAACCAGGTACATGGCTTACGTCCAAAAGACCTCCATTGATAAAGTGGGACTGGAAGGTCCTGGCTTGGTATTCATTGTATATCCGGAGGCCATAGCCACAATGAGTGGCTCTGTGTTTTGGAGCATCATCTTCTTCCTGATGCTTATTACACTGGGTTTGGACAGCACCTTTGGCGGACTGGAGGCGATGATTACAGCACTGTGTGATGAGTATCCACGTGTGATTGGACGACGAAGAGAGCTATTCGTCCTGCTGCTGCTGGCCTTCATCTTCCTGTGTGCTCTGCCAACGATGACCTACGTAAGTGACCACAGTCTGAGGACTCCTCTGGGCTGTGATTCGGTTAATTAACTCCTAAGCACCCCTAATACATATGCATGGATGTCCAACTAGCCCATTTAACGCACCATCTAGCAGAGATGGCACCTCCCCCTCTCCCTGTTTAGATATGCCAGCTCCGAGTCGATGGATTGCCGTGTTAAGTGCTTTTTATCGTTCGCCAGTTAATCTCACACACTGGCCACCCTCCCAGTCGGGCGGCAAGCCACCCTACCTCTTCTGCATTTTTATCACCTGTCAAGAGCAGTGGGCTTGTTTGCCTTTCACCTGGCCAAACATCCACCGACAAGTTGCCAATGGCTGCTGCTGCTCCTGTTGCTGCGACGTTCAAACACTTGGCTGGCAGCCAGTTCGGTCTACCTCCCGCCACTTTATCTGATTACATTTGAAATTGTAATTTGCTGCCTTCTTTATTTCTGCCTGTTTCCTGGTCACTTGGCCACACGGAGTGACCAGTATCGGTCAAGGGATCAAGCTATTCAATAACTCAGCCGCCATCCATTAATCAGTGCCAGTTTAAGTGGAGATCTTCCTTCGGAATGGTTGAAGGTGTTATAAAAGTAATCTAAAAAGGTTATTCTTATGGAAAATAAAACCAAGGAAAAACCTTAATAAGGAAACCAAAAAGATAATTAAACACTTGCTAAAATTTAATATTACTCAAATAATTAATTTAAAAAAATATATATATGTTTATGCTTTCTTTCAGGGCGGCGTGGTGCTGGTCAACTTCCTGAATGTCTATGGACCCGGCTTGGCCATTCTTTTTGTGGTCTTTGTTGAGGCAGCCGGAGTTTTTTGGTTCTATGGAGTGGACCGTTTTAGCTCCGATGTGGAGCAGATGCTGGGCTCCAAGCCCGGCCTCTTCTGGCGCATCTGCTGGACCTACATCAGTCCCGTGTTCCTGCTGGTTAGTTTTAATCAAGAGCTCGACAAAAAGAAATATTCCAATACAAATTCTTCCCCTGACAGACCATTTTCATCTTCTCCATACTGGGTTACAAGGAGATGCTTGGCGAGGAATACTACTACCCCGACTGGAGCTTCCAGGTGGGCTGGGCTGTCACTTGCTCCTCGGTGCTGTGCATTCCCATGTACATCATCTACAAGTTGTTCTTCGCCTCGAAGGGCGGCTGCCGGCAGCGGTTGCAAGAGTCCTTCAAACCGGACGATAGCTGCGGATCGGTGGTGCCCGGCCAGCAGGGCACCTCGGTGTGACATGACCACGCCCAGGTACACCTCAATATCCGCACCAGCTGCACAAGCATCAAGATCTACAACCTCAACTGCAGCAGCAACAACAGCTTGTCACCAACAACCTCAGGGGCCGACGCTCTCCACACAAAAAATCTCAACTGCAACTGCAACCACAGCTTCCCGCTGCCGCCGGAGGATCCGCCTCAGTACCGTAGTAGCCGGTATCAGCATCGGATTAGCAGCGATATCATAAGTGCTAGTCTTAGGCAGTCGCATAGCCATAGTTTAAGCCTCTGCTCGGTGCAGAGCAATCCCATGGCGACCACAAGGATGCCACTTGCTGCCGAGGACAATAACTGCTCGCTAAGACTCAGTAGCTGCCAGCCGCTCAAGTTCCCGCTGGCCAGCGAGTGGCTGGTCTAAGGGGGAGTCATAACCCTTCTGTTGGGAGTCCTGCAAAGCAGCCATTTTGCAGGGCTCCTCATGAATGGTACAATATCAATCACCACAGGGAGAGGCATTCAAGAGGCCGAGGAACTCAACGTTAAATCTAGTTTGATTGCTTCGCAAGCACACATAGTGAACCTAAGTATTCTAGTTGTCCAGCCTTCAGTGGCAGTAGCCTTAGTTCGTAAGCGTTAACTAGCTTAGCTGTAAGTGAAGTGAAATTTGGTAAAATGCTTTCTAAGTAATAACTGCTCTACGATAGAGATAACGCCCTGTACAATGCATTACTCACACACACATTTTTCGCATGCCTGGGAAAGGCAACCGTAAGACAGCCACTTGCATTGCTTTTCCTACATGCTCGTTGATTTGGTTTTCAATTAAATATATAATTTCGGTTTTACGAAATAAGAAACAAAGGAGTAGTGTGGATTTCTTCAATGGGAATATGATTGAAAACTCGATATTATTGAGAGATGTATAGTCATTAGAGATTTCTGACTTAAAAGTGTTCAACGTATACCCTTAAAATCCTTCTTTAAAAAACCACATTATTTAAATTATTTAATTTTTAATTACATAAACTTGCCTTTAGTTAGTTACGCGTAGCTGGCGAAATAATAAACAGGGAGCTTGATTTCATAGGAGGAGCGACTATGAACGATGAAATGGTAGCAATGTTTGATTTTCGGAGGCCATTGCGCACACCCACGCCGAGTGTAGACACACTGTATATTTTGGAGGCGGCTGGTCCCAGTTCCTACGGATCGGAGGCAGCTGCTAATCCTGCGGCGCCTGCTTCTTTCGCTTGCGACGAGGCTTGCGCTTCTTCTTCCGCTCCTATTTCCGGGACCCCTTGCCGCCCTCGTCCTTGCCCTTGTCGGTCTTCTCCTCCGTCTTCTTGCCATCCTTGGTCTCCTTGTTATCCTTATCCTTGCTCTCCTTATTCTTTTCCTTGGCATCCTTGCTGTCGCTCTTGCCCTCCTCAGCGTCACGATTCGCCAGCTTGTTGTTGATCAGGTTATGCAGCGCAATGATCGAGCGCACCATGGAGGCCAGATAAACGACCAGCATCTGGTCGTTGGTCTTCACGTACATGGTGCCAGTGAACTGGTCGTTGGTGATGTCCGGCAGCAGGTTGAAGATGTCCTGAAGCTGGTACACAATCTGGTGGTTGATAGGCATCTTGCCATCACCCACGCGCTGCAGATACTGCTTGATGTCGCGCAGCTGGGCGTTCAAGCCCTTGAGACCCATCAGCTGGTTGGTGATCTTCTGCGAGAGGCTGCCCACCGTGGTGTCCTTAATGTCGCGTAACAGATGCTCTACGCCCACTTCCTCAGCCTCCTCAGCACCGATTTCGCTGGGCACGTGTTCGAAGGTTTTGCTGGTGGGCGAACCGTCGTCGTGAACCTCCTCCACGGATATGTACGCCTCGGTGGGCAGTCCCAAATCCTTAGGCTTGGCGTCGATGATCACCAGCACAGAGTTGGGGCAGTAGCGGCGGATGAGCTCGTTGATGGCAATGTCGTTCTGGTGCAGCTTGGGACCCGTGTGGTACCAGCCCACGACGCGCTCCCTGGCGTTAACCTTCTTGAACATGCCGTACATGTTCTCCAGGTAGTCGTGGTCCAGGAACCACACCGACTTGTCTTTGTCGTCCTCATCAAACGGCACTGAAAAAGGCAGGAGTCTCTAGGTCATTGTTTCGCTTCAGATTCGACCATGTACTAACCTGCAAAGCTGTTGGACACGTCCAGAACTCCCTTGGAGCGCCAGCAGCCCAGAAGAACGCCCACGACGCGCTTCTGGTTGCCAATCTTGCCCATGCGATTGAAGTGATCCACCACGGACAGCAGGACCAGCGGATGCACAATCACTTTGTTTACGCTCACCTCCAGCGACGGCATGTTTGTTGTTTTTCTCGGTTTTCGGTTAAGGGACTCCTATAATGTGTGCACCGCTTGCTAGGTGCCAGGCTGCTCTGTGTTTTAAAGGTAGTTTCCTGCCTGGCGATTATATATTTCGCGAAATTTGTAGCGTTTTGCGGCAAAAATTGAGAGCAAAATGACAAGCAGAAACGATTCTTCCAGTGTGACCGCAGCACGCCTGTTCCGGTAAACCATGGTATTTAAAAATATACCGAAAGGAGGAGTATATTTGAACAGCACGTTTCCACTACGATCGCGTCTAAGCTGTTAGTGTTGTAAAAATATATACATATATATGTATGTATATGCTTGTTTATAAAGTCATCAAATAAGGAATAACCTATTAATTTATAAAAACTTTGATTTTATTTATTTTCATGCAAGAAACATAAATGATTCCAACCTGTATCGAATATTCCAGGTCCCCTGGGGGCCTAAGATTGTGATTAACAGAAGTCATATATATTTCGATTCGACATAATCGTATTATTAAATAAAAAATACAAATTTAAGAAAACAATTTAATAATTTTATTCGCTTTTTCAAAATTTTAAAAATTGCCAAAAATGTCAAAAATTTAGCAAAGTTTTCACAAAAAAATAAATAGAAATGTAATTTAGAGTGTGAATTTATTAACCTAATAAAAACTAAAGTATATAAGCTCTGCGAATTGATTTATTGACTAAATAATCATATTTTTATATTTTGATGTATTAAAAAAATTATTTTTATATATTAATTCAACATCAACTTTAATGTTTTTGGTTTTCTTGAGGATATAAGATTTCCGAAGAGCTAGAGATTTTGTTTTTATAAAGAATAAAATTAAATTAAAATAAATACAAATTCAGAATTCAGGAAAATATTGGTGCAGCGACATTGGAAAACACCCCACTTATCTTAGAACTATCGAAACAAAAAGTTTTGGACGAACAATTTCGAGTTTATATTCATTAACACAATAGAAACGTACACATGAAAGCTTTCTTAAATAAAACAAAACCTTTTTGGCTTAGTTTTGATATACCTAACCCCTGATTTACTAAAAATGTTTTATAAAAAAATATCGCTTTTAGCATATTAAGTGTTTTTTGAATTTATAAGATGTCCAAAAGGCTTTCATTTATGTTTTTTACGTAACAAAACCCTAATATTAAAATAATTTATATTTATAAATTTCAAGGTTGTCAAAAATATGGGTTTTATTAATTATGAAAACAGCCAACCTATCTACGAAGTATCGAGTAGTTGAAATCTAGTAAAAGTTAATTTCAATGGATTTATAAATTCCTGCTGTATTTATTACTGTTAAATTGCATTTTTGTCAGTTAAAAAATCAGATACAAATTATGAATTAAAATCGAACAATATAATCCTATTATGATTTAGTGACACGAGTGCAGTCGCATCTCTAGTTCTAAATTTGTAGCGCAGCCAATTGGTATTTTTCAACGGCCAAGTCGCGGTCACACCGGTGCGCAATCTCGAGTGGAAAAATCATGAAAAAAACGCCGTGCAAACAGTTGGAAAGTGCGAAAATCAACAAACAGTGATCCTGCAATTGCTGCACTTCGACCAATTACAAAAGTAAACAGACGCTAACTGCCAAATTAATCATCTTTTCCGCCTGCGTGCGTGTTCAAGTGTGTGCTAGTGTGTGTTGTTTCTGTTTTTGCCCTTGGCGAAGGCAATCCATCGTGCCGTTCTCCTCGCACCCAGGGCTGCCAGATGACCTAAACGCCATTTTTGAGCGCAATGGCGGCGAGTTGGCAGCACCGGGCGCGAGAGAAATTACAAATTGCTTAGCTGCGCGTTCGCCCGTTTGGGGAAAATACGTTTTTATCGCTGCCGAAAGGGTGCGGGCGGCAGGCAAAAAGGCCAAAACAACAACTGCGAGCGTTGGCGCAGCACCTGATATCAGCGGACAACTGGTGAATGAGGTGCGGATGAGGTAATTCCCTGGCTGCGTGCGTCTACAGTTTCACGCCCATCCGCCGTCGCCGCCACTGCCGCCGCTCGTAATTATCAATGAGTCGCAGTGCTGCTGCGTCCACTTTAAACTCGGATTCGTGCGCGTGTTGTTTACAAATTCCGGAGCTGCATTGTGCGATTCAAGGCGCCGTCTGGCCGTTAAAATTATTTGCTTAGTGGCCCCTCGAAGGCATCCAAGTTTCGCCGAGATTTCGGCCAAAAAACACAGTGGGGATAGTTCGTTCGCTTGTGAAGGGAGATGGGGGGACTGTAAAAGCCCAGAGACCAGCTCACAAATACTTAGAGAAAGACGACACACACACGCGCGCACTCACACATGGACGCGGGCAGAGCTACGCTCTTTTGTCTACGTCTTTGACTTTTTCTCGTTTGTAATCATTTTCCTCCCATTCGTACGTGTTTTTTCTACAAATATTAGAGCTCGCGAGCTGCTAATTAAATTATAAAACATACAGAAGCGTTAAAGACTGCGAAGACGACGACGACAACGGCGGAATCCCAACCAAGCCCACAATCCCCGCTCGTTGGCCCATTTTCGCTGGAAGAGCGCACTAAACACTAAACACTGAATGCGGAACGCTCTGAAAGGCGAGGAGGAGAGAGTGTCAAAAGCAACGGCTAATAGGTGAGTGTAGTTTAAACGGGGCTACGGAATAGTTTCGCTACGTTACGCTTACGGGGCTTACTGCTCCCCCGGACTTGAAACCCTGCCAACTCTACTTCTACCGCTGCTGGTGCTGGTGCTGGTGCAAAAACCAATCAATAACCACTCGCCAATGTCCAATGTGTCGTCGCCCCGCAGCTTTCACCAAATCTAGTTTTCCTGGTTGGACTCTCGCCCAGGAGCTCAGCTATGTAGAAGCCAGAGACTGAGCGAACAGCAGCAGGGGAAATCTACAGAAAGAGACACCACACACCACCGCCATGTCGTTCATCACCAACCTAAAGAAGGTCTTCCACCTCGGCGGGGGTGAGGCCAAAAAGAAGCGACTGTTCAATAACATCAAAATGGACACCGATCCGGCGGAGGTCTGGGAAATGGTTGGCGAGCTGGGCGATGGCGCCTTCGGCAAGGTGTACAAGGCCCAGCACAGAGAGCAGAAGCGCTTCGCCGCCGCCAAGATGTGCCAGCTGGAGGATGAGGAGAATCTCAGCGATCACATGGTTGAGATTGATATTCTCTCGGAAATCAAGCACCCCAACGTGGTGGAGCTGTACGAGGCCTTCTCCATCGATGATAAGCTCTGGGTGAGTAATCGTTAATTGGTTTTTTAGCTTGGCTGCAGAGTAACCCTTCTGTGATCCCTACCAGATGCTCATCGAGTACTGCGATGGCGGGGCCCTGGACAGCATCATGGTGGAGCTGGAAAAGCCACTGACTGAGCCGCAAATTGCCTATGTCTGCAAACACATGACCGAGGGCCTCACCTTTCTGCACCGAAACAAAGTCATCCATCGTGATCTGAAGGCCGGCAACGTCCTGCTTACCATGGAGGGTGGC